GTTTTTCAAAATACTTTTTGCATCACTAAATCACCATAAAATAGTTATGTATATTATATTCCACGCTCGGCTTTGCCTCGTCCAGAAACAGCAACGATTTATCCGCAAAAACTGTATTTTAGATTCTTGTAACAAAAATAACTATTTTGAGAAGAATTGCGAAGCGATGAGTATTTATTTATTTTATTTAAAAAATGAATTTGCGTTCCCACGAGCTACAGTATTAATAACATCCGGAAAAAATCAACACTCTTAAAAGTGTGGAGAGTCGCAATAAAGTTATAGAACATCCGGTTACTTTTTTTAGAAATTTTAAGGCCTAAATTTATCTTCAAGAGGGTGTCGAGCGATCCGGACCAAACGACGCTAAAGTCACACCCGTTTATCTTCGAAATGCACAAATTTTCCAGTGTAAATTTTGTTTAAATTCTATTATTTTTGTTAATAATATCAGAAACGCAATGAGGGGCAACATGTTGCAAATGTGACATAAGTTGTCAGTCATGATTTATTTTATTGGTCAGATCGCAAGTCGATGATGGTTTTATTATTTGGGTCTCATATTACAAAATTCATATTGATACGAGGGGCACTAAAAAAGTAATCCATGAAAAAAACAATTGAAACGCACAAGCATAATTTATTCTAACATTATCTGCAAAATTTGAGTTAATTGTGATAATTAGTTTCCAATTTATAAAGGGAATTGTGAGGAAAAATGAATAACTCAAAATTTGGAGTAACGCAATGCCATAAAATTCTTGACAAAAGAGGACTATAAGGATGATATACTATCACATTACACAATAAAATTTTAGCCGAAACAGTCACGATGTGGGCGAGAATTTTTTTAGGTCAAGAGAAAACATTTTTTATAAAGGTAAACTTTTACTGGAGGAGAAATGGCGCAAGTGTATTGATGTACGGGGGGATTATATTGAAAAATAAAATTATCAGTTATAATAATACCATGAGGAGTCAAAAATATTCTACAATCTTTGACTACACACTATTCAATGAACCAAATGGCAAATTTGCGTTACACATGATTTCGTTGTCATAGCAAAGTTGAATATCCAGTTATATTTTACCACGAGTGGAATATTCGCTGGAATTTGCTGTTGCTAAGATACGAAAGTAAATCTCTGCTATTTTATTGGTTAATATTTTAAAAAAGAGAGGTAACTTGAATAGTCAAACAAATTGTACGTTTTTTGTTTCATTGCTTGGTAGATTACTTTTCTAGTGTCCCTCATAGAATTAAGATGATAGAATATAATTTTCTTAAATTCATAAGGAACTTACTACCACAAAACATCGGTAACAATTTTGGTCTTACTTTGTCTTTCCTTGGTCTAACAACATTCGTCATTGTGTTTTATGTACAAAATTCTAAATAACTTTTGGATCTAATCTAATCTACCTCAATTTCATACATAGTAGAAATACTCCACTGTTTCCTACTTATAGTGTAAGAGCCCGCGGTCGCCAGACCTTCATCATTGTATAGAAGTTGAAAATTTGTCAGCGCATCCTACCAACACAGGTAGGAATAATAGGCAAGTATAAAGTTTGGGTCATCGTGGCTTTGTGAGATAACAGGTAGAAAAGAAGTAAAAAATACCAACTTAAATTTATCAAATAAAAAAGCGTAATTTTTTAATATTTTCTTTGGAATAATATTAGAAATCACCTCATACATTGCCAGACACCTTTAAACTTTTTCATTAGCCATTCAGTTTTGACAGTTTTAAGTGCTAAGTTCTAAATTTTACTTAAAATAAATGTGATTTAGATTTGACAAAGTATCATCATGAGAGCCCTATAGCTACCCTATATGTTTGTCTGGTCCAGGGTAGAACTGTCGAAACTGCCTGGTTACTGAGAAAACATCTTCTAATAGTTGTCCAAGTAACATGTATAAGATTCAGCTTTCATATGTAGTATAACGTAAGTACAGTTACAATTTATTAAAGTTTAAGGGTGTCTGAGAAGGGGTTGCCACGATATTAAGTGTCTGGCAATGGGTGAGGTAATTTTTTATATTATTCCGAAGAAAATATAAATAAAATTACGCTTCTTATTTGATAAATTTAAGTTGGTATTTATTTATTCTTTGCTAGCTGTTATCTTCCAAAGCCACGATGACCCAAATTTCATACTTGCCCATCGTTCCTACCCGTGTTGGTAGTATGCGCTGACGAATTTTCAACTTTTATAAAATGACGAAGGTCTGGCGACCGCGGGCTCTTGCTCTATTATTAAACAATGTAAAAACAATTAAGTTTTTGTTACAGTTTCCTATAAACCTCTTATTTAAAATGTGTAATTTATATAATGCCCGCGTAATTAACGTAATTTGATATTTTTTAAAGAAATGGATTTTGTACTTTACTGTTGTTTCTATTTTGTTGTTCTTATGTTTGGTATTTGATGATGATGGAAAAGGTTACCGTTAATAAATCCTAATTAATTAATTAATTAATAATTAAGAAGAAACTGAAACATCAATTAAAACTGTGCAAATTAGAACTTAATTAATTAATTATTAATTAATTGATGTTTCAGTTTCTTTATTGCAGAGCATTTCACGAAAACGGACTATTTAACGGTGGGATGCGGGTGTCATAATTTCTACATCATCTGGACATTCATTCCGCTGAAATCACTGAAGACTTCTTGTGATTCAGTAGCAATTTTATACTCTTTTTGAATTGTGTTTTCAACAGCTTCATCATCTTTGCTACCATCAAATATTTCGTATCCTGTGGTATTGTAATTAGAAAATACATTGCAAGTAGTTCTTTATTCCCGATTTCTTAAACTCTTTTTGAAAATCTACTAGTTGCTGTAATATTGCTCTTTTTTAGCGTTTTGTTTTTTATATTCGATGGCTCGTTTTTCTTAAATAATAATTTCAAATAGATTCGAACCCAAAATTTCTTCCTCAAAGATGTTGAAACGTAAGTATTTTGAATTCAACATTTTTTTTTTACATAAACAAATTTGTTAGTTCCAGACTCCTACCTGTTGTTTACTATAATGTATCATTCGAGAGCAAAAAACGTATACAACAATTCATCAAATAACAATTTGTTACAAAATGTAGAAAACCTGGTTTCGATGTTTCTGTCCAATACATAATGTTCGGATGAGTGCACGTAGTGGAAAGCATTATCGTTTACGAACTACTTAGTTGTCGACATTAATAACAGTTGTTATTGTCCCTGCGAGTTAATAAAAAAAGTGCAAAAATAATCTCTTGAATCTTAACAAAATCAATAGATTGATTTTTTTGAGTTATTTAAATAGCAATAATGAAAAAAAATATACAAAACGTTAAAAAAATTTATAGATCTACAAGTTTGTACCTTTTTTTGCTAAAATTTTGCATACACACGTAATTTCCGTGTCAATACAATAATGGTTACTTTAATTATTGATTTATAAAAAATTAACTATAATTCTTGTAAACAATTATCAATATCTTGGCACTTAATTGAGATAGGAAGATGGAACCAACTGCATTCGATAAAACAAAAAAAAACGTGTAAGAGCAAAACCAACTCTTTATTTCTGCAGGAACGTCGATACTACAGGCTGAAATTTTACTAAAAAGTAAGTTTTTTTCAGAGAACATTTTTGCTTAAAGCTAAAATTTTTAAAATTTATGAAAGCTTTAGGGGCGGTCAACTAAGTAAAGTAATTGTGCAATACTTGAGGAGTACTTGAATACTTGACCGCTTCCAAAGCTTTTACAAATATAAAAAATTTAAGCTGTAAGCAAAAATTTTCTTCTCTAATAGAAAAATAGTTATCTATACAAAGTGTCCCAAAACTCGTTCTTGTCCCAGAAAAAAATGCCATGTAAAGTACGATACCAGGAACACGGAAAAAAATGTTTAAAAAATTATATCTGTCTAATTTCGAAGTTAGGAGGGTTTAAATTTTGCATTTTGACTTTTTTTTTATTTTTGTTGGAAAAATAATGTTCCAAGTTTTTTTGCTAAATTGTAACTCTGTTTAATGTTAATGATAAAGTGTTACTTTATCTACTTTTGTGATTAAAGTGTTATGTTAAAGCGTGTATTTTGCGATTGAGGATTGTCAAACTATACCTATACTTAACACAAATGACAACTAGTAACAGTTCTACCATTTTAAATATGGTTGCCAAAACATTTTTAAAATATATGTTTTTAAAGTGTTGCAACAAATATTTGAAAAATGCCTAAAATTTAAGTTATCTAGTTGTTGACGATATTATCATACCAGCATTTTAGTTTTTTTGTTATCGACGTTGTCGGATTTATTATTGAATTTGCTAGTTTGTTAAATATTTGGTACACCATAAGATACAAATTGGTTTGGACCATAGGGTCGTGTGTGTGTCTGTCTGTCTGTAAACAGCATATCTAGAGAACGATAAGCGCTAGAAACTTGAAATTTAGTATGTAAGTTACTTGTAGGAAGGGGACGCAGCACAAAACAATTGGCAAAAGTCGGTCGCACCGTTCGGCCGTAAAGCGGCTGCAAAATAAATTCATGGGGATACAAATTATTTAGAATCATGAAATATTGTTAAATAATAAAATGTGATAAAACAAAAAAAAAATAATGGGTACCAAACAAAAAAAAAAATTCAGTACGTATTTGTTTAACGTTGTAAGATTTGCCGTTTCCGCTAACTAAAGTCAAAAATACATGATACTTGAATATATTTAAAATATCTCGTGTAAAAAGCTCAAAAGAATTTTTTGTCATGGAAACTTTTAGCTCAGTTGGATGTCCTTCCATCACACAAGATAGCTCGATACTTTTAAATCAGCCTGTATAAAAATGTTGTTTTTGCAAGTAAATAAATTAAAATAAATATGATTCGGATTTTTTAGTCAAAAAAAACGTGTTTCGGACTCCCGGTCAAAACTTAAAAAATCTAGCTAAACTATTTGCTAGAATTTTATAGTACAATAAAGGCAATTAACTTTTTGGGCTTTTAGCAAAAAAGAAATCCCAATCCATCAGTTGTAAAGGTTTGTTTTCTTCGCGGTTTCTTCCAGGATCAGCTGGTGGCTTTGGTAACAATCGCTTTAAATCTCTCATAAACTAGTTTGGTAAGTCAAAACCATAAAATTCAAGCAAATGTTGACGGATTTTATCTATCGAGAATTTCGAGAATACTAAATGTATTACTTTCAATCTTTATTTTGTATAATAACTAGTTGTTAAAGTAGGAATACAAATCTATTTTATATTTAACTAATGTAATTCGGTATTTCTTTAAAAAAAAACTAGTTCTTAACGGTAACACATCCTATCTCAATCAGTAAATCCTTTACTGGTACTTTTTCATCAACATTAATCGAAAGAAACTGATTACTGGTTGTAACATACATTTTCAGGGCTGTTTATAAAGAAGACATTGTTGTAAATTTGCTTCTGTATTATTCTCAAATTGATAAAATTCCACGGAGGTGGAGCAAAGTGCATGAAGAGCTTGATGGCCTGTCACGAGTGGCGACGCATGCGGTGTTAATGAAACAAGAGAAAAAGCAGTGATTTTGGGAGGGTTGCGCCTCCTGAGTTGTGGACTTGGGTTGTTGTCAGCGAAGAGTTCGCATGGGACAAAGCGATTCGAGTTTCGCCCTCATCTACACCTTGTGGCGTTAGCTGGAGATGCTGACATCACTTCCTCATTGGTAAGTCTCTTTAATTTCTGTAATTTTTCTTCTTATAAATTGCTTAATTGTGACGAAAAAAGCGATTATTATCTTTAATGACGAAAAATTAGTTAATGGTGGCAATTTTTAAACTAAATGTGGGAAGTGGAAGTCGTGACAGTTTTAAAGAAATTGCAGTTGATGCAAGTGAATTTATTTTTGGTGATGGTATTTATAACTGATCGATTGAGTTAACAGCAATAAAAGTGTACTTCACGTGTGATCCTCATTTCAATAATTATGACATATGTCATGTGCAGGAGCAAGTCCTTTGTACTTTAGAAGTATCCTTGAAAATATAACACCCTGTACTTGGATGATTAATCGATCAACTGTCATCAAATTTATTAAAACCTTTTCAATTCAGAAACAGGTATATTAAAATATTAGTGCTTATTAATTTTGACGGCATTTCAATTCATTTATGACTTTAACTTTTAACTTCTTTAAAAAGAAATATGTGTGATCATATTGTGGCTAGCCATAAAACTAGGACTAGTTGTCTACAATAAAATATTGACTCCTAAAGACGTAAAAATAACGTAAAGCAAAACTAAAAAATAGTTAACAATGAGAACATAATAGCGCCTTTTTCCTTTTAAAATCTTGGTTTTTATAACTACTAAGTATTTCCTTGTTTTTCCAAATATACAGATTATGTCAAAATTTTTTGAACATATTTACATTATTATACATACAGGGTGAATATAAAGTATAGAACCAAGCGGTTGTGTTTTAAATCATTGGCTCCAGAAAATAATAATTACTATAAATTAAAGTAATATAATTTTGAGGATAAAATTTTGTTTTGTTTTGTTTTTAAGTTAAGTATGCGATTTTTTTATCAAAATGGCAATTTTTGTAAAAACAAAAGTGGTAAAAATTAAATGTGTATAAAGTAGATAACTGTAATGTAGATCATAACCGTCCTAAGAGAAATGGTTTTTTCTTGCAACTTGTGTATGCACAGTGATGCCCCTAAAAAAGAACACTTTAGGTTCCCGTTAAGTTATTAAAGTTAAGGGTACGACCGGATTTGCCTTGAATGGGTGCCTTCTGTAATTCGTATTTTTTGTACATTCGAAAAATCAAGATAATTTGTAATCGAGCCATCATTGGATCCGAAAACGTATACCTGTTTTTGAACCAACTGCATGTGGAATGTTAAATCGAAAGGTAAAACGGCAAAATGGGCTGGAATTAGTCGCCGAAGTATAATAAAAGGACCGTTCTTTTTTGAAGATAAATCATAAATTTAGTAATTAAAATCATCTTTTTGATCATGCCATTTTATCTTTCGACTTGTTATTTTATTTGACGTTTTACAGACATTCGTTTTCGGTTCCAAAGATAAATTATCTTGATTTCTCTATACAAGTTGAATAAAAAGTATGGAACCAAGAATTTTGTTTGTAAACTAACTACTTAAGAAAAAAAAATAATTACCGTAAAGAACAATTAAAATGGGACTGTTTATCAAGAATAACATTTTTCGAAATTCTTTTTAGTTTTCGAGTTTTGCAAACATTTGTTTTTTAAATGGCAACCCACTGTTGCAATTTTTTTAAATTAAAGACGATGATTTAAAAATGCCTTCTAATTAAATAAAATTAAACCAGTAGTTATTTTTTAAATAAATTTTTACAGTTGCGTACCGAGCTTATCACGAAGTTTTTCCGAACTTAACTTGTGGCTTCATGCATTTAATCATAGAAGAGCCCTGATTTCTGTGCAGGTATTTTGGAGTGGTTTTGGATATACTAAAAATAGAATAAATAATAAAATGAGTTCTTATTGAATTTTTTAATCCATCCGAAATCACCCCAAAGCCCCTGCACAAAAAAACTACGTTCTTTAATGACCAAATGCATTAAACGACCACTTCGGTTAACTTTGGAAAGTCTTATTTAGTTGGCAGTCATTTTTAAATCATAGTCTTTAATTAAAAAAAAAATGTAACAGTAGCTTGACACTTAAAAAAAATATTTTTTGCAAAAACTCCAAAAATTAAATGGAATTAAAACAATTTTTATTCTTGACAAACGATTACATTTTTTATGGTTCCTTACGTTGAAGTAATTATTTTTTCTGCAAAGTAATTGGTTTATGCAAAAACACGCTTAGTTCGATACTTTTTATTCACCTTGTATACAGGTGTTCTGTCTAAACCTCACATTAAAAATATTGAGAGTTTGAATAATCATATTTATTTGAAAATTGGTAGATACTTCTAATCCATTAAGTCCTCTTAAATGAAAATATTTTCAAGATGGCGACACCTCCGGTTATATCGGAAGTCGGTCTCAACTTTCTTATTTTAAACGGAAAGCTATATTTTTTACTGCGTTTTTGGATTAATCGGCTCATTTTAAGGGAGTTTTCATCAGGTTTCTCTATACCTAAATTTAGCCGTTTTTGAAATATTTGGAATTTTTCAAAAATTTTTGGCTCTGCACCTTCCAATTAAAAAATCGGTAACTCTGCCATTTCTTAAACTTTTAAATTTATTTTTTTGGCGTTTGAATTTTGAAAAGAAAATTAACAAACTCTAAAATTTTAAGATTACTTTTGAAATAATTCAAATACCCACAACTCATTTTTTCCAAATGAAATACCCCAATTTTTATTTTATTAAATAGAAAAGAATTTAATTTTGCATCGATCTGTATTAACATTCCCTATACCTAAATTTAATAATTTTCAAGTTATGGTGACTTTTTGTTAAGACTACAGAAAATTTATTACTAGCCACACCTGTTTTCGCATAGTTTGCTATGGAAATCAAAAATGTCAAAATTTTCTCTAAACAAACGTCAACAGTAAATTATTATTTGACAAATAGTGCCAAAATATAGAGAATGAAAGTTACTCAAACTTAATTATTATTGATAGGTTCTACCATGCGATCATTTTAATTTATAATTAGAGTAGGCGGTTTTTTTTTCTTTATGAATAATAAACTAGTGCAAACTGAAGGAAAAATTGTATTCTAAGTAAATATTACCGTTCAAAATTTTATTATTTGATTCTTCAACTTGATTAACTAAGATAATCATTGTTTTTATACCTAACAAAGCCTACTCTAGTTATCAATTCACATGATCGCATGATATTAGTTATATTAATTATCATGGAGCCAGTATTATTTATTATTTTTCTTTGTTTAATGAACTACTAATTTTTGTTACACTCTCCATAAATACAAAATAAATTCATTAAATTTAAGTTTGAGTAGCTTTGATTCTCCATATTTTGGCATTATTTGTCAAATAATAATTCACTGTCGACATTTATTGAGAAACAGTTTTGAGATTTTTGTAATAGATTTTCCGCAGTCTTAACAAAAACCATAACTTGACAATTATTAAATTTTGGTATTGGGAATGTTAATATAGATCGATGCAGAATTAAATTCTCTTCCATTTAATAACATAAAAAGTAACTTTAAAATTTTGGGGTTTATTTTTTTTTTTCAAAATTTGAAAATACCTGAAGAAAGATCTAAGCTTTCTCTTT